GTGTTGGGGACAGGGTGAGGGTGAAACTGATAAGGTTGTGGTCTGAGAGGGGGAAAGGGGTGTTGGAGAGGTTGCAAGTAGTGCATAGGTGGGAGAAAACAAGATCAAGTATGTTACCATCAGAGTGAGTAGGAGTGTGTGACCATTGTGTTAGATCAAAAGAAGAGGTTAGGTTAAGAAATTGAGCAGAGGCCGGGGTGTTAATGTTAGTGGCAATGTTAAAGTCACCAAGAATGATAGGGGGTATTTCCGAGGAGAGAAAGTCGGGTAGCCAGGCAGAGAAGTCATCCAGAAAGTGAGACACTGGTCCCGGTGGCCGGTATATAACAGCAATCCTCAGTGAAGTTGGAGAGAAGAGGCGAATGCAGTGGGTTTCAAAAGAGGAGAGGGATAGAGAGGGAGGTGAAGGCAGAACTTGAAAAGTTCATTGAGGGGATAGAAGGATTCCCTCTCCACCTCCTTTCTGTCCATTGGATCTGGGTGAGTGCGTCCAATGTAGGCCACCATGGGAGAGGGCAGCAGGGGAGGCAGAGTCGGATTCCTGAAGCCAAGTTTCAGTGACGACAAGCATGTTAAAGGAATTGGAGATAAGAAGATCATGGACAGCAGTGAGTTTGTTACAGACAGAGCGTGCATTCCAAAGGGCACATGAGAAGGAAGGACTTCATATGTTCCCTTTCGCTTATTGTGAAGGATGACACCGAGCACCTCGGCATGGGGGAAGGGAGATATAGTTGTGTCGTCAATCTCAACAGAAAAGTTGGAACAGTCCAACAGAGTAATACGGAGTAAAATATCTCGACCTCAGATGATACAGGTTCCATGTGGACCCACTTTATCCACCCAGCATATATCTCCAATCTATATACGCACCTCTGTGCCTCTCTTCATGACTCTGCACTCCCCTCTCAGCCACCTTAGGCTCTCTATTCATATACAGTTTAGTGTCATTCACTAACACTGAATGGATTCTGATTGGCCGGTCTAATTACCCCTTTGATACCTTTATACCTTATACCTTTGATCACTTTATACCTTCAGGCAGTGGTCATCATGGCCAGGGCCGGATTTGCCACAAGGACAACCATGGCCCGGCCTCGGAGCAGCAGGGAGTAGAGGGGCAGTAGGCAGGGCAGCCATCAGGGGGGTACGGCCG